ATATAAGTATAGCTTTTTTTATAATATAAATTTTATTATAATTTATTCTTTCATAATTTATTTATTTATATCTTTTTTATTACAATTTTATATTAATTTTTTAAATATTCTACCATATTTAAAATTAATGAATATGAATCGCAACTATCAAATATCTCTGATAAGGTATCTTTATATCTTTGAAATCTTATATTAAAAAATCTTAAAAGTTTGAATAGACTATGAAATAATCTTTAGACATTTTAATTTAAAGATATATATTACATATTAAGACTATGGTCCACTTGATGTATAAATGTTTTGAAGCATTTTTTTGATTGGTCATTTAGTGAAATTCTTTTTTCTTGTTGGTCAATCAAATACTTCAAAGCATTTGCAGTGTCAAATGGACCGCATCCTGAAAAATCCGTGTATTCTTTATTTTAATTTTGTAGTGGATTAAAATACGCACAAGTTCCTGTGACGGGTAAGCACAAGTTCCAAAAGGTGATTTGTGATTTAAAACTATTATTTAGACACCAATTACTATGTTTGCATTACACAATATTTTCTCAGATATATGTCACTATTTTCTTGCAAAGAGACGACATCGAAGTCATTTTAACAACTGACTGTAGAGATCTGTCGAATCACTGTTGGAAGTTATGGAAAATAGCTGACCTTTGGTATTGATCATTAAATGTCACGTAATTCTAGACTTCGATTATGATTGAGACTTCGAAGAAGAATTAAAATAAATACTATAAAAACTTCATAATAATGCACATGAATTGTAGATCAGAAGTATATGCATAATTTTCAGATTCTATTTCTGAATGATATCTTTGTTTTTATGAATACTAATTTATTGATACATGTTTTTATTTTTTAGAAGATTTTAATGAGACTAAAATGTGTATTTTTAATAATACATATAAATAAAATTAGACAATTTTAAAATTAAAATTAAAATTAACTCTAATTTGTCATTTGTCAAGAGATTTGCTATTAAGTAAACTGGTAAACGATGAAAATAAAATGTGTAAGAAACATTAGAAACGTCGGTGAATTTTTTTTTATATTTTTGCACAACAATTGTGTAACAATGTAATTATATTTCTTATTCAAAATATAGATTAATTACTTTTATTTAAGAAATAATGCTTCATTAGTCTTTGAAAAATATTCAATAATTTGTTAAAGAAGAAAAGCTAAAACCTAATTGCATATGATTGCTTGCTTTTTAAATTATTGTTAAAGAAGAAAAGCTAAAACCTAATTGCATATGATTGCCTGCTTTTTAAATTATTATCTCTAGAAGATAATTATGTACGTAACTCGAAATTAATCTTATATTTGTTTACTTCATATGAAATATGATTCAATTAAATTGTTTTTCCCGTAATCTAAGATTATACAGAAATTATACTGATGCTTCTTCTTGATAAAGACAATTGTAAATAGAGATTTAATTTTAAAACAATAATTCTCTAATGCTATCAGAATCGTTTCAACAGTTTATTCAAATGAAAGAACAATGTATGAGTAATCAATATTATTAAAGTCTGATGAATTATTTTTATTGACAAAGGATTAATAATGAAAATGAGTTTCGGGAAATCGTGATAACGTTTTGCTGCTTTTACATTAATATGTAAATCATATATGTATAACGAGATAATACTGTGTATTGATAAACATTATCGCATTTTATTCAATTTATATATTCACATTTAAAAAAGAAATTAAATTAATTTATTTTAAACTTTAATTAAGCTTTAATTAAGCTAAATCTACTATCTTATTTACTTGTAAATTACAATTTGCAATTGTACATATTGATGTTACAAACAGAAAATTATTTATCTTCTTAATACATATATTTAATAATAGATATTCTTTAAAAAATTTTGCAAATTATTTACACAGATATAATTTTATTTTTAATCTGTTTTTTATTTAATATATTTGTTGCTCTGCGAATATTATGTAGGAAACAAAATAGCATTAACATACTTAATTGAGCACAAAACATAAGTATAATAATGTTAATTTATATAATTACATAACTCTTCATTCATATTTATTTAATATTACAGATTTCATATATTTTATATTATATATTTTACGATCGAGATTAGCAATTAGGTATATGACATGTTTTCAACGCAATTCTCGAAATTGTTGGATTCTGAATATATGGAAAACTACGTAATGTCACATAAATCTTAAATTTGTGGCGATTTAAACGTAATCGAAATAAGACAGACATCTGCTAGTTTTTTAAAACTGAATAGTAAAAAAAAAATGATTTTTTTTCTCAAGACAAAGTGACTGAATTTTTCTAAAACTAAAAAGGATCACTGATAGATTATTATAATAAATACACCGAAAAATCGGAACAAATTCAATATAATACAGAGTCAAAAAGTCTCGATTACACACAATAGATATCAGAAATATCGAAATGTGTTATCACCGTGGTCTATTAAACTAGCTATACGATGCATTTTTCCTGCTACATATATTGCTTGCGTTTCAATAAATTACTAGAATTGCATCACACAAAACGCAAAATTTCTAGTAATTTACTGAAACGCAAGCAATCCAGCAGGGAAACATAATGCATCGTATGTTGTAGGCTTTTAGAATAGCGACAACTAGAAGAGCAAAGTACAAAAAGTCATATGTAGTGTAAAAGGTTAAAAATTGCATAACAGATGTTTTTCTTGAATTCTTCGTAAGATTCTTAATCTAATTCTATAGATCAAAACTTTAATGCTAGAGGTTAAACATAAGACAATTTATGTACTTAATTTGCATATTGTAATTTATATAAATTCTTCTAAAAATAACGTATTATTGTATGAACTCTGTATATTATTCAAATTGAGCTCTTGAAATATTAAAACAAATAAAAAATAGAGTAAAAAACGGGCAATTAAGAGCGTAATATTACGAAACTGTATATTAGTAATAGATAAAATCAGTTTTGTATATTATGTAATATAGATACAATTGAAATATATGTGTATATGATAATCGCACCAATTACCGCGTATTAAGGCTATATATATATATTTAATTGTTCGTTTTTTACTCTATTTTTTATTTGATTCAGTAGTTAGTTTTGAATTCATGAATTCGGGATTTGATATATAAAAAAAA